TGATATCTAGAATAATTAAAATATTAAAAGAGTCATACATATGTCATCATGTAGCAAAAAATATATAATTTGTTCACGTGATCACGTTAGCGCGCATACCTGATGTGAAAATTATCTTTTGATACGTATGTGTTTTAATATATATTTACATATTAATACATATTTTATATTATATATTAATATAAACATATTTTACATGTATATATTTCCGATGCGAACATCCTCTGATTACACGGCACATAAAATTATAAATAAAATTTTACCTTGAATTCTAATATTGATTATAAATTATTTAAATTAGCGATATATCCCAGGTAAATTTTATACTTCTCGATGTTATTATCTTTCGGGAGATCTATTTATAAAACATTTGTTTTTTGACGTATCGAAAATCCAAAAAAAAAGCAGACATACAAATCCGTGACAAAGAGAGAACTGTTCCAACTCTAGAAACAATTAAAGCGAGCATTTAAGTTTTGCCTCAGGCAACAGAATGTAATTCGTTCGTTTCTCAATCGTAATAAGCGACTAACCAGAGTGGTGATTCTGTCGCAAAAGTTTAATTAAATTCAATCAGTGGTAAACGACGTTCGTATAGTATATTCCAAAGTAAACCGCACTGTGCATTTTCCGACTTTTAATTGTTTCGATTGATTAATGTGTTATACTAAATAAAGAAATCTGAAACTAGTGAAACTAGTGTGTTCTCGATTTGTGTATTATTTATTTCCGAAATTTACATTTACATTTACATCGTCGACTATACCGTTAACGTAGTAGTTTTAGACAAGCGCCAGCTTGAATCTCGAACGGCAAGTGTCGGAAGCTAATCGGCAGTCGGAATGTCTCAATATTTCACATTTATTTCCACATTATTATAAAAATAATATAACATAATGCATGGCACATGCCGGCGCAGAGGCGTGAATAAATGAGTACAATTCGGTGAACAACGCATCCCCCTTGCCGTCACACGCGCACCGGCAATTTTTCATTTGTTCCCCCCTCCCCCCCCCCCCACACCACCACACACACACACACATATAGCGGTTGTTCCCACCACGACATTGTGCGTCTGCAATATTCACGGGTCATCACTTTTAAAGTTACATTTAAGTTTTCGCGACGATCATTCCCGATGTTGGTCGCAAACCGAGAGAGCTTCTATCCGTTTGCTTATCAGAAAAGCGAATCTGAATTTCGGATGTACGATAATCAGTTCGATAATCTTTGAACGATCCAATATGGGGCGGAAGGACTAGAATAATTTCATCAATTGGGGATGTAATCGCGGCGTGTTTTGATAACCCGTTGCGACGGGGATGAAATATGAGATCCTGAGAAAGATTTTTTCGAAATTTCCCAGAGATTTCCCTTGGTTTATGATAAAGTCGACATCACGAGGAAATTTCTCCATCAATTCGCATCGCACTAATACACGGAGTGTACCCTCATCATTGATTCCCTGTCAATTTTCGTTCACGACACACGACTGGGAACGACGAGATTACCTCCAGTAATGTTGCATCGCCAATCAAACGAAATGAATTGCCAAAGCACTGCTCCAATAGGATCTCTCTCTTTCTCTCTCTCTCTCTCTCTCTCTCTCTCTCTCTCTCTCTCTCTCTCTCTCTTTCTCTACTTCGTAAAAGGATAAATAATCTCTTTCTAAAGAATTTTCACGACGATCGATGAAAAACGGTGTACGGTGCGCTTCCCATAATTATTCACGTCTTCTTTGGCAGAAAAATCATTGAGCATTTGACCGTTGTTTTATGCTTAGATGAATACGAAAAAAAATTGATTACAAAGGGATTACATTATATCACAGTCCTAAATTACGGAAATAATTTATTAAATTATCTGAATTTAAAGTTTTTCTTTGAAAGGGAGGATACGCAGATGTATCACACACGAATATTACAATATTTTAATTAGATGATAAAATTTATAATTATGCATATTTCTGAATAGGAAACGCGCAAATAGCGCGAGAGGAGCGCATTTCAAACGCGCTTTGAATTTGGAGATCTTTCTGAAATGCGTTTTGAAGCTTTATACGCAACGTCTCTGCGATGTTTATGAACAATATTACTTTACTTAAGCCGTAAGCGGGGCACACTGAAATGAATAAAAAAGTATAGCAGAAACAGTACGCATGTGTTTCATCCCCCGTAAATCTTGCGCCATTTTGTTAATCTCGTTCTGCATGGAGAATATACAACGATGTAATTACGTGCGAATGTACCAACCGCGCGAACAACCGCATAAATCGTAAACAAGTTAAGTAGTGAAGTTAGATTGCTCAGCACTCATTGTTTTTTCATTGCTTAAGTTGGATCACATACATAGAGAGAGAGAGAGAGAGAGAGAGAGAGAGAGAGAGAGAGAGAGGAGGGAGAGAGAGAGAGAGGAGGAGGAGGGGGGGGAGGAAAGAGAGGGAGGAAGGGGGAGAGAGGAGGGCGGAAAAAAAGAGGAGAGAGGGAGAAGGGGAAGGGGGAGAGGAGAAAATCTATTTAATATTAAATCTGCTAATACGCGTCCAACGGCAAAACTAATTACATCAGCTATCAGAAAGACGTTGTAGCGGGCGGGAAAACGGGCTGGCATTTCATTGTGATTGCGCGGTCCACAATGCACCGTGAAAATTAACAGACCGCGTTTCAAGTCACTCGCGTTTCGCAGAGAGGTAGCCGTGGTGAATGGACTTTCTCTCGTCGCCGCACGCTGTGGGCGACGAGGAAATTTTCCCTGAAGTTATAGTGGACTATTTTTCACTTTTAAGATATGAGCCACATCGGACGGAAGAGATGTGATATAAGAAGCACATTCTTTGCGCTTTAAGGAATTAAAGTACGAAAGGGTTTAATATAAGATAGTCGCTTTATTACGCTTGTAATTCTTCATTTCGTAGTATCGGCCGAAGGAAGATGTCGTATGGGAGGCATATTTCCCGCGTTTCACGGAATGAAAAGATTTACGAAAAGATTATTTAATGTACGAGTTAGCACTGTTACATTGTTCTTCTCTATTCCATAATTCGCGGAAAAAGGGATCGCATTATGGAAGAGAGTTTTCATTTTTTTTTGTTTTACACCAAAATAATTCGAGGCACGCTTGCCTATTCCTAAAATGTACGACTTATCGCTGACTCGTATCACTACGAGAGGTATATTCGCACCGGATGGTCCTCGATTAACAGACATTATTTAACAGAATGATAATTTTTTTTCCATTTTTCTACAAGACAACGTACGTGGCAGAGTAAGACAAGCGAGCTAATTTTGACTAATTTTGAAGAATTCGTAATGTGGTTTTTATAAAGCCACGAGACTGAGATTTGCATATGTATTATTACAGTCTTCTAAATGTTCTTTATTCATAGTTCCGCCTCTTCTTAAAACACAGGAAAATGTTCCGTCTCGGTTTTTAAGCTTTATCTCGGACATGCAAATGTCAGCGTATTTATCTTTTTATTCTCTATTTTTCAGAGGCGGTATATAAATTAAAAGGCAGACACAAGCTTAAGATCGAGTCATCTTGTATTTCTGCTTGGAAGATTGATCATTGAATTAATGTTACTATTTATAAAAAAATGGAGACGGATTAGATGAACATTAATCAATCATTATTTCATATCTTTATTTTATATAACTTATTTTTAAAAAACTGTTTATTGTATGTAACGAACATAATATATAATATTTTCTCAATAAATGTAATTTTGTAATAATTTAAATAAACAAAATTTATATAGCTATTATTTAACTAATTATAGAGAGAATACGACAGAGAGAATTAATAATTTAATTTAGTAATGTAAAAAGCTAAAATATTTATTATTATAAATTATGCATATATGCGTATAATTAAAAGTTATTCAATTTAATAACCACAACAATTTTATTTATAACGAATTAATAACCGATATAAAATATTAATCAAAGATTATGAATATTATGAATATTAAATATTTATATTAATTATACATGTATAAACATGTTAGTTTATTATTATAAACTATATAATATAACTGTATTGAACAAGTAAAAAAACAATAAAATCAAAATTTCTGCAGACGGTTGTCCCAATGATAGGAAAATATTTCTCCAAGGAAAAATCAAAATATCCTTTTTTTTATTTGTCTGGACTTTAGATTTAAAAAAAAATAGAGTGAAAATCTCGCACTCACCGGGCGGCAGAGCGATCGCCACGAAAAACAAGATGACACAGGCGAGCCTCGCGTGGCTCGCACGTTTCTCGATGCACATAATAACGCGACGCGTTATTCACACCGGCATCCGAATACGCGCAACGTGTCGCGCGGCCGCCTCGCGTGGCTCTGAGAGTGTGCTCCTCGTTAGATTTCGATTTAGAAACGGGCTCCCTCCCATCCGTTCCTCCTCTCGCTCGCTCCAATTTCATCTCGCGCGCGTTGCCGGCCTCGCGCGCAGCTCCCGGATGCTGCGAGCGGTCCGGCAGAGCGCCTGCTCGGTGGCAGTCCGTCCTACGCGTTCCACGCGCCACCCGCGGTTGGCGCCACTTGCTTAACAGCAGAAGCGATCACGGGGGGATCAAGATGGCACGCGCTTTTATCATGGGAATATCGTTTTGCGGATATTTCCTCTTTCGAGACTTCGTTGATCTTCAATTATTATTTAACCGAACCAATCGAGTTAAAAGACAACTAGAGTTCATTCAGAGAGAGAGAGAGACACACACACATGAAAAATCGCGAGGAAATTCGGTCCTTCAAAAGAAATATAAGTCTTGGAAAGTCCGCCTTTCGCAAACTTTTCTCTATTATTATTCACGTTACTTTTCTTAAACGAAATAACCGTTACTTTTATTCTTCGATGTAAAAATAATGAACGCATCCCGCGCGCTCTGGCGTATGCACCTGTGCGATTGGATGTCCATATGCGCCGTCGTTCTTACCGTCGAGACCCGACCTAGCTTTTATAACCCTCTCGAATATCGATCCGCCGGCGTATTCGCGCGCTTCGAACAACGCAAGCTCGGATTCAAGCCGTGTAGAAGTCACCCTCCCGGCGAAGCTAGTTCATGCCCGGCGCACCACCTCACCTCCGATCGTGTTCTTCCGTCCCTCTCCCCCCTCCCCTCCCTCTCTGTCTCTCTTTCTGTCCCTCTCTATCCCTTTCGTCCTCGTGAACAGGAGACACAGCAATCGGGCAAGATGAGCGACCAGGAGGATTTGGATTATTACATCATGTTCCCGTCGTTTCCGCCATCCCCGAAGGACCCGACGTTGACCGCGGGACAGGATCAGCGGGAGGAATTCGTGTTCGTGTACGAGGAGGACAAGCGGCCGGTCGTGATCCTGCTAGGATGGGCCGGCTGTCAGGACCGATACTTGGCTAAATACAGCGCGATCTATGAAGAGAAGAGGTATTTCGAGCTGCTGATTTCACGTGAAATTGGTACCGTGCGCGAGAACGAGTTGAATTTCGGGAGATCGAAATTGTTCGTCTCCGCGATGTCACAGGTCCGAGATACTTCAAATACTCCAAGTACTCGCGTGTGGATACTGGATGCGCATTTTATAAATGGCGATTTTAAGGGGAGAATAACACAGCGAGGCGCCGATTTATATCGTAGCGTTACGAAGTCCTTTTGCGTCCTACTTTAGACGATTTCTCATTCGATAGAATTTGACTCGCGACACAAGTTTTTATTTATAATTCTATACGTCGAGTATGGAATATACTTGTAAAATTACAGAGAGATGTATCTATAAACGTTTCACTTTTGTGCGAGTAGAAACGAGCGGATGTGCACCTGTCGACTCGATAATTCCGATCGCGAATCCGATGATCGTCTGATTGATTACTCAATAATTTGAAATTATTTTTCAATTTAAAATTATTTCTCAATTAACCTTTAATCATTAATCCTTGCGTTGTATCTCTGTAGTTGCATTACACTGCGTTACACGGCGCCGGTAGAATGCCTGTTCTGGCGGCGGGACAAGATGCCTTACATCGGCAAGCGACTGCTACAAGTGATCACCGATAAGCAATTGGATGAGCACCCGATATTTTTCCACGTCTTTAGTAACGGTGGCGCGTTCCTGTATCAGCATATCAGCCTTGCAATGCAGAGAGCTAATACGCCGTTCAAGGTACACATCTTAACGCAGCAAAAATCGCGTTATGCCTCGTCGAATATACATTTTATTTTTGATCTTGGTTTTGAAGATCGCGAAGAACTCTGATAATTTTAATTTATATGACAATTTTTCCTTTATGCCTTATGTTTTTGTCTAAAACAAATAGTAAACGGATTTTCTATTTTGAAGTTTAAAAAAGAAGTTTACGATTATTTTTAAGAAAAAAAAAAGTAAAAAAAAAAAGACATATGTATGCAGGTTGTATAAAAAATTATTAGACAAAAGATGTTACTTTAATGCGGAACATATATTTTACAAAATTACGCCTTTGTGTTAATATCGGAATTATAGGAAATTTTTTATGTCATTTTTTATTTTTTTTTAAATTAAAATATCAAAATAATTAAAAAATTCTAATTAAAGTCGACAATAAAAAAATTTTGACTTAAATTCGCGTCAAAATTCAGAACAAGATTTTACATGCCATATAATATGATAAATAAAGCAGAAATTGAAATACAAACATGTATAAAAGTATAAAATACACGGCATAAAAGATAGTAAATAAAAATATAAAAGTTTAGAATAGAAACTTAATGCGAATTATAAATTGTCTATAAATTTAATTCATGTAAAAATTGAAAATAGAATTTTATTTATAATTTTATGTACTTGCAGGTCAGGGGAGTAATATTCGATAGCGCGCCCGGTGAAAGAAGACTAACGGCGCTTTTCAAAGCAATCAGCGCGATTATCGGTGGTCATCCCCTCACGAACCTGCCAATGTCACTCGTCATCACGTTCTTCCTCTCTGTACTCTGGTTCTTCGAGGTAAACGAATGCACATTCATACTCTTCACATTGCTTCACGAACATTAGCTGGCATGAAACATTCGTAATTTTCATTAATTTCCGAATACGTCCGACATGATCTTATCGCAACGTATGTTTATCAAGGCGAACCATATTATGTCCAGATCGGATCATTTCAGGACTATATCGATGTTATACGGTTTATATGTCAATTTATGATCGTCAGGTAATTGCGCAGGCTTTCAGCAGAACACCTATTCAAACGAACCCGATCGCCCTCGCCGAGGAAGCCTATTCTTGGCCTCAGCTGTTCCTGTACTCTAACAGCGACACTCTGATTCCGGCGTCTGTGAGTTTCCATTTTCCACATTAAATTCTGTAATAATGAATCGGACTTTTGAGAAATCATGGAATATAAGTTCGTTTAATCGAAAAACAAAAGAAAAGAAAAGATATACATTAAAAAAGAGAACATTTGAAAATTTATTTTTTATTTATATTAAAGTTTTTATTTATATTAAAGTTTGACAACTAAATTTAAAACTTTTTATCCAATAGATGCAATGAGAACTGAGAACAGTCTTGTTACAAAATATTTATGAAATTTTGTATTTATATAATTTTATATTATGTCACTGATAAGAGCCCTCGAGGTTTTCTTCTAATGTTTGAAATCTGTTGAAACATCAGGATGTCGAGAAGTTTGCTAGCCGGCGGGCCGAGCGGGGTGTGCGGGTGCAGTTGGTCCTATTCACCAATTCGCCGCATGTCAAGCATTACACAACTTATCGCGACGTCTACGTGAACACAGTGTGCAGTTTTATTCACGAATGCTTGACCTCGCCGAGCCCATCGAGGAGCTTGATGTCTTTGGATCGCGGTGACGATCACGGTTCGCAAAGCTATGACGCACAACCGGGTCTTACCAAACGCGTTGTGTTACCTCAGGAGGGTAGCAAACAGCAGAATTAATATAAAAATAATTTAAAAGATGCTAATAAATAGAATAGAATCCCTTGCTGGAGGATCGCGCTGGAAGCGAGTGTGCGCGATGTCGCGGTTGCAGGCGTAAAGCGAGAGAAAGAGAGAATCGATGATCAATTATCACGTCTACATTTTATAGACGAAAAAGTCCACGAAGAAAGGAATGAATTTGAAGAAATGCCGGGAATCCGTTTTGTGCAATTACGATCTCCTAGGATTTTCGTAATTGGATATTACTCTTCAAAATATTGAATTTTTCTTCGCTTATCGGTTTTTTTTTCGTATTCTCATTTATTTACTCAGAGACGGAAGAATCGTATAATTAGAAAGGGCAATTTGTTGGAGTTAAAATGTACAGAGAAATGATGGATGGCAAAATTAGAAAAAATTTGGGGATCTGTCTGGTTTCGAGGATCGGGAGACCAAATTTCACATAATTGATTTCTTGCGGTTTTTTTAATTCATTCATTTTATGTAGTAAAAGAGGCGATGTTGAAAATATGTGCTGTTCGTTGATATACAGAGCTGTTTTTTTTTATATAAGGTTGATGATTGTTTTCAAAAGGAATTATTTAAATAGGAAAGATGGATTTTTCATGAGTTGAGCGAGAGAGTAGGCACACGGTGGCGTAAGAGCTTTTAAATGAAATATACTTTGAAATATTTTGATGTATATTCATATACGTAACTATGTATATTCATATACGTAATTAACATATAAAGATTTTTATTAAAACTTTTTTCAATTTTATATCAACACATTTATTTAATCTGCTTCTATTTTTATCTATATTTCATACACACATACGCACACGCGCGTTATTTATGTCTATCCTATTTGTAAAGTTTTAGCATCTTACTGCGATATTGCTATATCTCAGTGTCGGTCCATAATAGATGATTTAACCTTTAAGAAGTAAGAAATTGACCAATTATAATCGAATATAAAAAGAATAATCGACTATGATTGGTCAATTTCTTACTTCTTAAAGCTTAAATCATCTATTGTGGACCGACTCAGGCATCCTAAACCTTGTCAAAATTTTCTAATTTTCACTAATATAGTGAGAAAAAAGAGAGTACTATCTTCTCTTTTTTTCTTCAGTCCTTTTCCATAATTTCTTTCGCCACCGCGTGTCTGTTAGACGCTGTCTGAGCAATCGCTGTTTTAAAACTCGCAGCTTTAAAGCTCGTAGATGTAAAAATGCATGTGTTATGTATACTTATTCTTAGTATAACAGATCGGATGAGCGAGTAGGTGCATTCGGTATTACAACCGCTCATTGAGCAGCTAAATAAGAATTGAATGTGATTGGTTAGAGCTAAGAGTAAGAATCAATAATAGTGACTACCACTTGGCTGCGATTGTAGCATTGAAAAGTACTGAATGCATCAAATTCTCGCTTGTTGAACGGTTATTTTCCTTGGAAGCGACGAAAATTAAAAGAAAATCTTTAGGACAAGGTGGATGCATCTAATAAGAATCATATGCAATATCGCGCAATATGTTTACTGCTTTTACACTCGTGCTACGCAACGCGGAATAAAAAAATCCGCATAAAAAATCAAGCTGGACTTGATTTAGCTTACGCAATTTACGATCCGAATGCATGGCATTTAATATCGATTCGAAAAAGAAAATGATTCTCCTTGTGTCTCGAATTATATCAGTGATAAACTTTCGAGAATGCTTGGCGCTCGAGAATATAGCTCTGTATCGTTAATGTTTCTTTACACGCGCATATATACACGTATAAACACACAAAACACACACACACACACACACACACAGCAGCAGCAGCAGACACAAATAATATAAATATATTTTGATCTGTCGATTAGTTCTATGAATAAAGACTGATACATAAAACA